AATTTTTCATCTTTCTGTGTAGTGTATGTCAACCCACTCATCTTCCCTCTCTCCTCTCGGGGGATTTATAAAAACCTTGGGAGCTCTTTTTCTTACCGGAAGCTGCCTTCGTGCAGTACAGAGAACTATACTACACTTATATACAGCAAGAAAGAATAATGCTTTGAAATTCATTCGGGTATTGAATTCCAAAGTTTGAAATTTGAGTGTTCGGTTTGTGAAAAGGCGGGGCGACAATACGAAGGATGAGGTTCCCAGTGTTCCTTGCGTTGCTGGGCCTCGTCGCAGTCGCTTTATTCGTCGGTAAGAAACACTTGCAGCGACCTCTAGCAATACAATTTGACATTCAAAGCGCGGCTTATAAAACTGGCTGCTAGGTGTCAGTTATACAATTGCGAAAAATTTCGCCGATTTTGTTCGGAAAATTATCGAAAGTCTAAATCCTTTTCTTGGAGAACTATTATACAGAGTGATGACGAAAGATTTTTTGAAAATATTTCGAGGAGTTTACGACTTGATTGCGTCATTTTTCTTACATATATCCATAGATTTCACGAAGGCGTCGGACGAAGATGACGACGACGACGATGATTTGGGAGACGGAGATCTTTTCTGGTTATTAACGATCAGGAAATGATGGTCTCCAGGATGCGAGCGGTATCATGCCGGCGGATGGCAACGCTGGAATGGACTTCAATCCCGACCCGGACTCGGAACACGCCATTGGTGAGTGATTCTTTATTTTCTTATTTAAAATTTTTTTATTTTATTGAAACCTCATGACGGATTTCATGATAAAATCACCCAAGGAAATTTCTTGAAGGGGCAAGAAATTTTACTCGGTCTGGACTCGAGCGCATATTCTTGAAACATTCACCATATTTAAGAAGATATTTGCTAAAAAAAAAACATATATTGGGAAGTTTAAGATAATTCTCCAAGTTAGAATTAAACTTGAAGAATTTGGTTGGGATATACAACAGGGGTGACTGAAAACCCTTTTCTGAAGTTGATATATTTTTCTGAAGATGTTGTTCAAAACACCAAGTTTGCCAAGATCTCTAGTGATCCTTGTGGTATTGCGGCCCAAGTCAAAGTGAAGTTTTTTTGTAGATATTTTTAGAAGAGTTTTTCTTAAAGCATGCTGTGGAATATTTCCACGTAGATTGTTGTTTTGATGTCGAGTTTTCCGTTTTTGCAGTTTCTGTTTCTAGCCATTTTAGTTGCTGAAGATTCAAGGATTTTGAAAAACGAAAAATAGTTTTAAAAATGCAAATTTCAGACGAGCTCGATAAATCTTGCAAAGGCACATAAAATTTTTTTTTTAATGAAATATGCAAGAAGAAATGCCAGCGCAAAAATAAAACCTGGCTGAAAAATCTGTCGTGAGAGGGAACAAAAAAGGAACAACAACAACACTATATTTATTCCTTCAGATACAGTACATTCACAAAAGTAATTGGAACGAATTGCAAAACAGCAGCAAAATTGCAAAAAAAAACTAGAAAAAATGAAACCCATGTTTACTCTGCAAAAAAAAATTAGAAAATTTCTCCACCAATTCCTATCTCTTCGAAAACCTCGCGGCAGCCGGAAACTCCTTTCGTATGCAAAAGTTTGTAAATTTTTCTGTAGGAATACTTCTTTCGTTTAAAATGTTCGCAATTTTGAAGATTCGCGTGAATATTGCTGATTTATTTGCAGTCAAACGATCCAGTAAAAGGAGACGGAAGATGAGTCGCCGTCAACGTCGCAGGAGGCGTCTTCGCAAGCGTCGCAGGAAGATCAAGAAGGCTCGCAAGGCTTACAAGTAAAAAAAAATGGAATAAAATTCAAAATAAAAATGAAATAAAACAACAGCAATTCAGTTCACTAACTTCACTCATTATCTCTGATATATCTCACGATATGTGCTGAATGACGTTCACGCTTCCTTTTTGCACTCACAGCCATTGAGATTCTCTAAAACTTTTAACTCTTAACCAACAAAAAATTGACAGAAACGTAAAAAAGAATATTTTTTTTACGGAATTGTTTTTTCTTAAAGTCTTGGTTTGTTTTATTGTAAATACTGTAACTCATGTAACTGTGACCAGTGTACTGAACAATTAACTTCTACACTACTTTCATTGTTTAATTTGATGCTATAGACAAAATAAAACATGTTCTAGTCATTGAATAAAACCTGCAACTATAGTACATCAAAATATTTATTTATCCCAATAAACCCTTTCTGAAGCAAGAAGTTCATCTCATTTTTCTGGATGCTAAAAAATGTTCTTTATTCTTGTTCCACAATTTTTATTTTAATTACTTCGAAACTAAAAAAAAAAAAATAGCGCTGCACAATTATTAAAGCTATACGACAGGTTGACTCCCTAGACAACGATCTCGTCTACAACGATTTTCTCTCTATAACGAATTTTTTTTTTGGTCTCTTGAATTTCGTTGTAGAGAGAGTTCAGTATACCTGTGTTTGTTTTCCAAGCGAGATGTGGAACATATCCTGATGAGCGCTTAAAGTTCAGCGGCTCGAGCTGAATGAATAATCGTTTCTCAATATTATTTCAAAAATTTTAATCTTTTTTTAACAGTTTTTTTTTTTAATATAAAAATAAAATAAAAATTGCAGGAAGGCACTTAAAAAGGCACAAAAGGCCAGGAAGAAGCTTTTTCGCGCTGATCCCAGGGAAAGACTCAAGGCCCGTCTGAAGATTCACCAGCTGAGAATGCGCATGACCGGGCGAGCGGGCCAGCAGCAGCAGCAGGTTTTCCGACGCGGAGGGCGGCTTTTTCGGCGCCCCGCGAGTGGCGGGTTCTTCCGCCGCGGCGGCCGACTGTACAGAGGACGCCCGATCCGACGCATCATCCGGCGGCGTCCCACGCGCAGGATCATCAAGCGAGTCAAGGTATCAAAAGATTTAAAAAAACGACAGGATTTTCAGTCACCGTTTCTTTTTATTTCCGTGACGAATTTAAAATTCCAGATTATTTTTTATTTTGTTCTCCAAACACTACGATTTCCGTAGAGTGATATGATTTGTAAAAATGTATCTTCTGCTTTTTGAGAGCATTTTTTTAAATATGTGCTGCGCTGTTGCTGTATTTGATAATTTGTCCAGAACTTAGAGCAACATCTAGGGAAGACCATTCCTTCCAGTTCATTACAATATTTCTTTCTTTAACAGATGTCGCTCTAATCTTCTTTTCGAGTTTTCTCATTAGAAATCGAAATCAACGTGTTCTAGTGATGCGTGCATTGGACGGTTTGAAATTTTGACACAAAAAGTTAGATTTACGAAGATTTTTCATGAACTGGGTCGATTTATATCAGCGGGATACGTAATAATTTTAAACTGATTAATTGAAACCCGATTCAAGTAAAGTACGGTACAATATGGTGCATTTGAAAAAATTTCCAATCCAATTTTATTTTCATGTCAATGCCTAATATATCCGCATTAATGTGCCTTCCAAATGAAAAATTGTGATTATTGATGCGCTCTGATTTTTCAGGGACAGATTATATATCCAGAGTAATTATCTTCCTTGAAATTCAAATACGCACAATTTTAAGATGTCACATATTAAAAAGTGTCATACGTTTAGAAATCTGAAATATTATATAAAAATGCTAAACTGCTCTACTGTATATTCATCCGCGTCATCAAAATATTTGCAAAAACCATGCAATGTTCAAAGGCATAGTCTTAAACTCGGAATCTTTCCAAAGAATTATTTCAAAAATAATTGCTGACGGCGGCGAGATGCTAATAATGTTTGAAAACACAAAAATGAACTGGGAACTTTTTTTAAATTCTTGTGGCATATAATCAATGCAAAAAATAATAATGTGTTTGCATTTACGTATGTTTGAAAAATAAACAGTTGATGAGAAGGCGACTCAACAAGATGCAATTGGCGAGACGAGGAGCAAATCGAAGGAAGATCAAAATCCGAATCCCATCTGCTGCCTTCGGGGGTCGTAAGGGTCCTTCACGAACTTTCCGAAACAAGCCAAGGCAAGAAATCTCATTCTTCCTTCATTCAATTTTTATTTTTTTTAAATAAATAGCAGTCAACAAGCATATTTTGCTCAACAATGAGCAGCAGAGAAGCTTCCAGTGTTCTGTATTTTTGAAAGTTTTAGATTTATTCCCTCTCCCTCAATTTTTACTCCATAATATAGGTTCACATTTTTCATTCGAATATTCCTTCCATTTTAATATCAATTTTCGCTTAAAACTTTCAAAAACAGCGAATGTAAAACACAAATCTCACAGCATGGAAGCCCTTCCTGTCAAAATTAAAATTTATTGAAAACTAAGATCTGCTGCTTCGTAAAATTGTAATACTTCAAAAAAATTCCTCAGCAAAAAAATATGTCTCTATTTTTAAAATTGAAAGAATCTATTATACATTCAAGGGTATTTTTAGACGTCACAAAAAGGACGCGTTGGTTTTTGTTTCAGTCCGATAATGTCAAGTAATTCAGTCACAGACTTTTAAATGAGTATATTCTCAAGAAATCGGGGAATTTTTTATTACTTATTGTTGCGAATAATTAAATTTTTTGTGAATTTCGGTATCTTTTCCTTGGAATCTCCATCGAAAATATAGAAAAATTTGCATATTATTCGAAAAGGCGCCAGAAGTGTGAATAAAATTAGAAGATTCAGGAACTCAGTTTTTCTACTTCACAAAGCAATCCAAAAAATCGCAGAACAATTTGTCAACTCCAGATTGGTTGGTTCAAAATTTAGAAGAAAATTTAAATAATTTATGCGGACTCGATGTCTTTCTTTTTCTTGACGAGAAACTTTAAATTATCTGCGACCTGGCTTGAAAAGTTGCACGACCATTTTTTTGTCAGGAAAAAACAAAAAAAGTAAATCGCCCAGATGATGGAAAGTATCACATCTTAAAATTTTCTCCCGACAGAAAAATCATAAGATTCCGTGTTGAAGTTATTAAAATAAATGAATAAATTTCACAAAATAGATGCAAAGTATTGTTTTCCTCAGCCTTTGAGCTTCAAAAACTTGTGCTTGGAATATTTCAATTTTCACCGAGGAGTGGACAAAAAAAGTTTTTTAATTAAGGGGTGTCCATAAAATAAAGAATTTTTGGTTTTCTTTCGCGTATTTCGCATTTTTTTTTCCCTCGCCGATTCAGGAGACGCAATAGATTCCGTGGGAAATTGTGGCTGAAACCGAAGGTGAAGGCGAGACAACTCATCAGAACTGGGCACCCGCCGAAGCGACCCAACTACAGATATTTCCAGGTTCAGGTTCCCAAACCTGCTGCCCCTAGAAGAAAACAGGCGCTGGTCCGAAAACCGGCGCGGGTCCGAAAACCGGCGCTGGTCCGGAAACCGGCGCTGATCCGAAAACCGGCGCCGGTCCGAAAACCGGCGCTGGTCCGAAAACCGGCGCCGGTCCGAAAACCGGCGCCGGTCCGAAAACCGGCGCTGGTCCGAAAACCGGCCCCTGTTGTCAAACCAAAGGTAAAATAACCTTGTTCACTTAAAAAAACAAAACAAAAAGAGAGAGAGAATATTTCCAGTAATGTAAGACATTGATTGAATGATTGATGAACAAACTTTATTTTCTGCTTTCCAGTGTTCACAAGGCTCAAACAATGTTCCCACGTCCAAAACCCCTCCCCCCACCCACATTCACCCAAACACATTCCATATCACATCAGAATTAAATTAGAGAAATAAGCTGTTTTACGGGTATTGAAGAAAAGGAAAATACACCACAAAATGTACAAATGCACAGCTGTTGTAAATGCATGATGTACACTTTGCTCCCCTCACTATTGAATACAAACATAAAATATCAGTAATATCCCCCAAGTGCAGAGCTATTCTTTGTGTGACCCCACAACTGGTGCACACGGGTCAAAACTGGTGTACATGGGCTATTTCTTGGGTTACAAGCATGCACCTCTGTAGATGAAATTTTGCTACCATTCCAGGGCTACATTTGGTGCACAAATGTGACATAACAGGAGTATCACACAAATGCACCAACTGTAACCTTTGGTGTAACTTATTTGTTACAAATGTGACTCAGAGTAATCCTGGTGTCAACGCATAACTGGTGCACATTAGGGATATGCATGTGCAGAAGAAGAACTTCAGTACACTTCAGGTGCACAGCAGGGTCACTGTGTGGAAATACATGCATATCCCAAGTGTGCACAATTTTCCCCACTCACGGCAATTACGTCATAATGCAATACAGTATTTGAAAACCACAAATTAAAGCCAAATGTATTGAGCCTGCTCCCAGGTAAGGTTTATAGTTGATTAGACAATTTGGAGAGAATCTTTGAGGAGAATAAAATTGTATAAAGCTAGCAGTTTATCTTGGTCCTCCAAGATTTTGGAAAGAAACTTTTCATCAACTTTCAAGAGTCTCAAATCTTTCAAGAGATTGCTTTCATGTTTATTGAATTGTGTAAAAGTTGTGCCAATTTACTTGAACAAACTGTACACTCACAATAAGAAATTGCAATTAGAGTACTTTGAAAAAAAAAATTCCCAAAACTTCCCTCATTCAACTGATTTTTTGAAAATGAAACCTTTGATCTTGCCAATGTGACGTTTTGCGAGTTTTGTTCATATTTCCTTTCTTTCTAACGTCCGCTGTAGGGATTCGATCACCTTTTTTTTAAAAGCTCGTAAAAACCTATTTATACATGGTTGCCCGAAATATATACACTAAAAATGCCATGTTCTTTTTCATGTATTTAGCCTCCAGCGCCAACAACAACAACGACGCCGAAACCCGACCATCACATGGTTGTGAGACTAGAGCTGCCATCTGACGTCGCAGAGGCAGTTGAGAGCGCCAAGAAGTTTGAAACGTTCAAAAAGAAATACGGCGGCTTGTTGCGATGAAGAGTGTATAATGTGCACATTGTGTTTGCAAAAAGACAAAAAAGAAGAGAAATACATTCACAAATCACATTGTATTTTGAGTTGTATTTCAAATATCCTTTGTATAGTAGATAGAGCAGTTTGTTCTGCATGCAACTGGAGGTTGGTGCTGCACCACTATGAGACACCATCAGTCCACAAAATAAGTGCTTTGCTGGTTGGCAGAAACCAGCAAAACACTCTTCACTTAGAACAGCTCTTCACTAGAAACAGGCAAACCTCTTCAAGTCCAAATGATACACTGTCAAAAACTTGATTGAAGGAGTTTGTGAGTCAGGAAAGCCAGCATTTTGATGAAGAAAAATGAAAAAAATTAATGGAAGTTGGATTTATCAATCTTTTGAACCTTGAACAGGTGGATAAATGAGTAGCCAGGATGTGAAACTTGATGGAGGCAAGGGTTTCATTTGCCCAGAAGTACAGTCTCTCAATTCCTTTTGAAAAACCTCAAGAAACATTTTGATTGCTTCTCTTTCTTCTGAGTTCCAAGGAAGACCTCCAGCAGAAATTTGAATCATAAAAGGGGATTGAGGGAAAAGCCTAGGTCTATAAATTGTGGTTTTTAATGGAATTCAGTCTCAGACTGAACAACAACTTGAGACAGTTTTTTGACTTCAGGAGCTTGAAGTTCTCAGGTTCAGTTGCGCTTTCAATCCTATACTTCCTTCTCTTTTAATCACAGCTGAGAAAAATTTTCCAGGATTAGTTAAAACTATTTGAATATAAAGATTGGGAAATATTGGTCTGAGTATTACGGAGACCAACTAGACCACTTTTGCATCAGCTTTAGCTGGCTTCTGGTATGTTGGAGATTGCTGATTGAGCTTGAAGAAGCAGGTAGATTGTTTCTGTAACAGTGTATGAAACTGTATTGTGTTCCAATGCTGACTGAAAATTTTCATTTCTAGGAGTGTCGAAAATAGGATTCAACACATAGTTCATGTTAGGCAAGCATCGAATTAATGATGTAATTTGCTTGATGTCTTCTGTAGAGTTTCATCTACCACTTAAAATCGAATTTCAAGAAGGAATTCTGGCCCCTGTCCCAGGCTCATCACTGCCTTTTATTTATGCACTTACTCTTTCCAACCCAGGTTTACACCAAATTATATTGAGGCAACATCTGTCCCCAATAGTTCAGCAACATTTTGTTCAAAATATCAAAATAAAGTTTCACTAAAGGACTTGAATCTTGAAACTATACTTTGAAAAAAAAACAAGCATTTTAGGAATCAATTTGGACCTTCTTTTTGTGGGCCTTTGCCCTACAAGCATTACAGGAACCTTTTTTAGATTTCTTCAAGAAATTTAATGCTATCCAAGAGTATTGGATGCAACAGATGACACGAGGAAGACAATGGCTACATATTCATGTTTCCCTACACCAGGAAATGGGGTGGATTAAATGTACTTCACCAGCGATTAAACTTTCTCCAGACAATCAACATATTACAAAATGAGGTGATAATTAACAAAGAATTTCTTTTAAAGGCTCCAAGAAAAAATCTTGATATATTTAACCTTTCCAAAACACATGGTTGATACTTTATTCATATTATAAACATTGCTTTCTGAGCACAAAACCACTCAAACTAAAAACAGGTCAAAACAGCAGCCAATCCACAATTAACTGATCTTGCTTAGCTTCTTTTGCCAAAGGAATCACTCAGATATCTTCTGCCACACATGCCAATTAAAAATCCAAAAGGCCTGCTTGAAAAATGGCAAAAGTCTGCACTTTAAATTATTAATCCTTAGATCTAGCTTCTCCTTTATTATTATTATGGATGAAGAGTAGGTATTCTTCAATTATTGGGGGTTTGAAGGTCTTCTGATGTCCTCAAGCAAGCCATTTTTAAACTTCTGGTTACTATGGTGGGATGTGTACAGTGATAAGAATCTCTCAGTCTCTCAACCTTCCGAATGTTTCATGGGTTGTTTTATGATTGAGCAATGGAACCTCCACGCAAATTCCTCCATTGTTCAACACATGTCGGTTTCCCCAGTTTTTTTTTTTAATCTCCAAGTTTCTAGACAATTCGAAATATCCTTCCGTATTATTCACATCAAACAATGAATCCTTCCATGCGTGTGGGGAAATAACACATTGTTGTCTACAAGTGTTCTGTGAACTGTGAAAAAGAGCCTATTCTGGGTATTTGCTAACAATTCTTTGACTGTGATGACTCTGGAAAGAATCCCAGTAAATACGAGGGAGTATTTTCATATTTCAAATGAAGAATTCTAGGAAAGATGTCAACTTTGAAACTCATTCTGTGGACCAAGTAAATACCCGAGGAAGAGCCAGTAAAATGGATACCAATTTCGGGACATTTTCCAAAGATTTCATCTTTTTAAAATCCAGATGAGAAAGACATTACGCTTCAAAAGTAGTTTATTGATTTATTCCATTGAAATTTTCATGAATTCTGACTGAAGGAGTGGCTTTCATATGAGGAAAAAACATTTGTCAGTCTTACAGGAAATCTGATTTCCAAGATTTAACAGTACCGTATTTACTCAAGTACCACGCGCACCTTTTTTCTCAAATTTCAGAAGAAAAAGTTGGGGTGCACCTCATAAGTGGGTACAAATTTTTCAAGAAGTTTCAGGAAGTTAGGTGTGAATAATATACTTGATTATAATGGAGAAATTAGGAGCAAATGTACCAAGAAAATTTTTTTCTACTGAAAAAGTTGAAAATTGATCAGATTTTTGTTCAATTCATGTCTAAAGTAAAAATTTTTGTTTCTATTTTCTAAATTTTGTGGCTTTAGATTCACTGAATATTGGGGTGGGCATCTTACTCAGGGATAAGATTTTAGCAAAATGTCCAGCTGAAAAATCCCTGTGCGCGCCTTACTTGAGGGCACATGGTACTCAAGTTAATATACGGTATCTCAATTTTAATAAAAAAGCTCAAATGTACAGAAATTGTATTTATAAAAAGCAACAGAATTTAGAATGAACAGAATACTTTATTTGCTGCTTTTCAGCGTTCACAAGGTTCAATCAAGATTGCNAAATTCAGAGCAGGAAACAGAGCACAAATGGATAATAAAAATTAAAGAAAATACAATCCACAAAATACAACTGGACATCTGACATGTATGCATACACCCATTCCTTCCCTGACATTGAAAAATAAAATATCCGTAAAAATTAACTTAAAGCACAAGGTCTTCAGCTTGTTTCTGTATGACGTTTAGTTGAATGAATTGATAGACACCTTATTCTATAGCCCCAAATGAATGTTCAATTGCTAAATGCTCTAAAACCACAAAATTCAAACTTTTATTTTTTACATAATCCTTTCAACCATTGAATTTTGAAAATCAGTCCAACATTCTCTATCAAGTGACTCAAGCATGACACAAACACAGAATAATTTTTGAAAAATATGAAAATTGGTGTATGATACACACCTCATTTTCCAAGTACTGATGTACTTGAATACAGTACTCCAGAACTATTATAAGCCCCTTTTCGAAAATTATTCATGTGATTATTGTAAGAAATTTCTCTGTAAACACGTAAAGTAGACTATGAGCAAAAGAAAGCCATTTTAAACATGCAGAAGCATGTGTATTATAAATAATAATTCATTTACACCATAATTATTACAAGAAATGCTCAAAATTAGTCAAAATGGCTGAACACAATTGAGAAAAATATATTTTCGTGGAAATGCGCTGATTTTCTATGCGTATATTGTTTTCAACAATATTTTCTCATTGAACCAAAGAATTTCTTCGGCGTCTCAAGAATGTTTTTCATTCAATTTAATGAATGCTGGCGAATATTTTTTAAAGTCCACGTCGGTTTTCCAAAGAAAAGTTTGCTCAATAAAAGTATGTTGTCGGTTCGTTCTCCTACTTCTGCTTCACACAGCGCCGCTTCTGTACGAACAAACAAGAAAAAGTTTGCGGATTCACTTATTGTAAAGCTCTATATGTTCTCGGAGCAAACTAAAAAAAATATATACTTGAAAAAAATGAAGAAGAAATAAAGAAAAAAACACTGCCTGGAGGGGGATAAATTCCTGCTCAAAAGGAAACGGTTTCTGCAAACCGAGTTCGTGCACAACAGGCATAAAGACTCGGTCTGGTCATCACAAAGATATTCAACTTTATTCCAAATCAATAATAGCGTGTTTCTGTCGAACATTTTTTTGTTTAGAATTTAAAAAATATGAATTTTCGATCTGTATGGTTGAAGTGTGCAGTGTGCAAAATTTATTCCCGTTACATTCAGACAAGTATTATTTTAATTCTGTCTGATTTCTGATGCGGAGTAAATTTTCAAGGTTTATAATTTTTTTAATTTTAAAAGATTTTCCCGATGCGTTTTCAAGAAATGTAAAAAAAAGTGATCAATTTGATCCGTTGGCAACATTTAACGCCTTATAATTATCGACTATTCCGAGTCTCTTTCATGAAGGAGTAAGAATTCAAACATTTTTGCAAGTTACGCCAATTTTTCCGGCAAAAATAAAACGGAAAGATTTCCTACAAAAACGTTTTCGTTGTGTGTTGTTTGAAGTGATGATTACATTTTGAAAATTTTGAACTCAATGTGTGAAGTTTCTGATGGCATAAGGGATATTTCTGTGAGTTTAACTCGCCACTCTCAATCGCAGTTTATTACTCATTTTTAATATAAGCGTGATATGTGTATTAATAATGGAGAGTATATTGAAATTTCGAAGAATTTTATTTCTCTTTTGGTCGTGTGCAAAAAAAAAAAACAGCGAATTGTTTTGCGACTCAATATAGCGCTATTTGTCGCATGACAGATTGTTTAAAATTTTCATCTGCCACCAGGTGAAGGAAAAAATTGATCAACCAGGTTTCTTTTTTTAATTTACAGGAAGAAATTTGACTTGAATTAAATTTTGAGTAAGAATAAATTCATCGAGTGTTGAGAAAATGTCTTGGGCTCAAGGGGTACTCGGGGTTGCCCTGGTCTGCCTCCATGCTTCCACTGGTGAGATTTTGTTCAAAATCATCGTGACATTTTTGAAAGTTTATCTTAATGAGTTCCGAAAAAAAAATGCAAATAGAAAAAGAAAATGAAGACACTTCTTTTCAAATAAAATCAAGACGTTTTCTCTCGCAAAATTTGAAACGAAAAGTTTTTGGAACCCAAGAATTTTTTTCCCTTTTCAGTAATATAGAATTTCATCCCCAACAGGATGACCCATATATTTCATGAATATGTCTTCTCATTGAGCGTTTGTTGCAACTCGGAAATTTTATATACAGTGAGACCCCCACATGCGGACACCTAGACCTGCAGACGATTCCTGTATCCCTGTGAACAAAAGAGTACTTTTTAATTATTTTTTCCGGGTTGTACTCCTGTGACTGAGTTGTATCCCTGTAAAACACTACTTTAACTTTTATGTGCAGTCCGGTTTAATGTTCTTTGTGATATTTCCAACCCTAAAATTGATGTAAGAAAAATTCTTGGGCATTTCTCTCACCAATTTACAATTGATTTTGCGTATTTGAAAAAATTACCTCCAGCAGAGAGGGACTTCCTCCTTGCTTTTTCACTTGAATGTTATTTTTACAAAGAATGCAAACATTTCTATGTACTTATGTATCAGTATCCAATTCCCCAAATGCCCATATTGTGTTGAAATATATTGATTGGAATCAGTTTAAATTGCGGGACTATTTTTATTTTCATGGAATTATTGTGAGTATTTTGTACATAAAACACCAATTAAAAATTATACAATGTAAGTGAAGGGAAAATGTGATTCAACTTAGGGACATTTTGACTTAGGGACACTCTTGATGCACCAATGAAGTCCGCATCTTGGGGTCTCTTCGTATATTGCATCTTTTGCGTAATTTATGTTGATTTATTCTACGTTGAATTTTTTTTAATTTGAGCAGCTATGCCAATGAATCCTGGCCTAGACGCCTTGTCCAACTCAGGAGCTGAAGTCATAGCACCCCTTTTTCAACCAGGAGGTGACGTGGGAGAGGATTTCAAACCTGGTAATCAATTGAGAAATTCCCCTCTCACCAATTCATACATTTTTTCAACATGATACAAAGTGCACATATCACGAAAAGAGAAGGGAAAAGAGGCTCCCAGCATCAGAGCTGAGTAGTAAGCTGACCAATAGATTCCATGCAAACAGTAATTGGAAAGAACTGGGAGGAATAAAACAGATTTGAGCAAATAAAAACGATCATCTTTCAATGGAAGTTTATACAACAATTGCTATACATTTTTTTTGTCTAATCAAGCTCATTGTACAGACCTGATCCACATAATCCACAATCCACAATCAAGCATAACATAAATCCACAATCAGTACACAGAACAAAATTGTACCAAAATACAGACTCTTTTTAGTCGTCTCGATTAATCTATTGTCGTTTCGTCGACCCTTAATAACTAGTGGTAGTCCCTGTCCTTATTTTCGTCTCCACGCTAACCTTTTTCGCGGACGACTCCCCGTTTGACTTTTGATGGGTGCTGGTGTGACTCCAGCAGTTGGTGGTGCTGGTGAACAGCTGATGCCCGAGGCCCTGGACACGGAACCCATTGCTGCTCCAGCTGCTGCTGGGGACCAGGGTGCTGTGCCAGTGGAGGAACCTGCTGATGCCCAGGCTGCTGATGCTGCTGAGGAAGAGGTTGCAGTTGGGTCAGGAGAAGCCGCTGCTGGTGGTGGTGCTGTTTCCACTGGAGAGGATGCTGCTGATGGTCAAGCACAGATGCCTGAAGGTCAGAAAACACCTATAAAGATGTCTTTAAAAATTGCATAGCATAAAATTTTTTTTAGAAAACTTCAATTTATATGTTTTATGTTACAAAATTCCAAGAATCAGCTGTCAAATACCAAATTCAGCACAACAGCTGCATCCAGCCACAAACATCACAGAAAACGTTAATTATATCAAGGCCGGTGAGCCTTGCCAAAATCCTGTTTGGTGAGACTCACTGCCCAGCAAATAATTTGGCCATTTCAACCTACATTGCAACTCCATTGCCAAGCCATTTTGACCCAAATTTTGGGCTATAACTGCCATTTGGTCACTGTCAAATGGCTGGGGGAGCAGCTGTTCCCTGGGACATTCTGAAATGCATGTCAGCATGCGTTGCCAACAACCCTTGTTTCCCAGCCTATGTGCCCAACCACCCCCACCCACCCTCTGAATTACTGTTGTACAATGCATTCAGAAACCCATTGCACACCCATTCTGAAAACAACCCCAGGTATACATCACTCCATATGGGTCTCACCCAAGGCCAAGAAGTGCTCATCAATTCTTGGATTGCACTAAAATTGGCCAATCATGAGCCAGTACGTGCAAGCACCTGGGTAAAAAAAACCCTCCTTCCTCTTTGTGAGGAGAAGTGGGAAGCTGTAGCATTAAAGGACCTTTAACAGTAATATTAAATCAATCAATTCTCTGAGCAATAACCAACCAATTCTGAAACCATTCAATAATTGCCACCAAATCATTCAGCCATTTCTTTAACATTCTAATGATAATCTGGGCAACAAGAAGGCACTCCTCTGAAAAAGAGTTTGTCAATAAGACTTGCACCCTGATGGCTGCAAAATTCACTTCCTTTGTCAGGGATCCAATGGAACCAGCATAACACCAGCCACTCTTGAAAGGGTGCTGGTAAAGCGCTGATGCTGCCTGAAAGCCAGGAAAAAAATCATGAGATTTTTTTATAAATTTCCTAATGTAAACAAAAACAATTTGAGATAACTTCCAAAAATGTCTCAAATGAGGCAAATTGAAAAATCAGTCCATCTTGCTCAAGAGCTGACAACGTAAGGTTAAAAAAAATCACTAGATTTCTTGATGCAGTAAACTTTGTAAGAATGTGTCACCAAAAAAAGAATGTTACAGTATACGATTTTTCAAATTATGAAAACAGAACTTTCCGAAAAAATCTGACTTTTAATGCTGATTTTGAGCGTTTTAATTCAACATCAATTTTTCTCAAGTCCTGTTTCAAAGGAATGCTATTTTAGCGTTCGATTGCAAAAAAATAAATGAAAACATGAACGCATTTCATGATGGAGGACGAC